AGATGCAGCAGCAACAGCAGCAGCAGCAACAGCAGCAGCAGCAACAGCAGCAGCAGCAGCAGCAACAGCAGCAACAAGGTTTACCTTGCGGTAGCAAACCGCTGCCAAGCCGAAGTTGCGGTCTGCATATGCGGCGTTTCCATCCCGACGAAACCTGCAGCACCCACCTCAAACCCTAAACCCTAAACCCTAAACCCTAAACCCTAAACCCTAAACCCTAACCCCTAAACCCTAAACCCTAAGCTGGCCCTCAGTGGGCTTCACCTCTCTGCAGCTTCGATCTTCTCGAGCGTGGGACGCTCAAACAGCTGCCGTTCCTGTGCAGCAACACCCAAACCCTAAACCCTAAACCCTAAACCCTAGACCCTATGGTTGGGCATCTGCCCGCATGCAGCGAAGAGGTGATGGTGTTTCAATCAACAGCACAACCGCGCGGCTCGCGAGGGTTTAGGGTTTAGCAGCATTTTTTAGGGTTTACGATTAGGGTTTAGGGTTCAGGTACCCGGTGTACGAATATTTTGGAGGGTTTATAAAGAGGGCTTAGGAATAGGGTTTAGCGTGTGCGATTAGGGTTTAGAGTTTGCGATTAGGGTTTAGGGTTTGCGATTAGGGTTTAGAGTTTGCGATTAGGGTTTAGGGTCTGCGATTAGGGTTTAGGGTTTGCGATTAGGGTTTAGACTTTGCGATTAGGGTTTAGACCTTGCGAATAGGGTTTAGGGTTTGTGATTAGGGTTTAGGGTTTGCGATTAGGGTTTAGGGTTTGCGATTAGGGTTTAGGGTTTAGGGTTTGCGTTGACTTTGGAGTGGTCGTGGCCGCAACCGGCTGCGAGAGCTCTCGCTCTCTCTGCTTCTTCTTTTTGTTTTTCTTGTATTTCTTCTTCTTCAGCTTTTAACTCTTTATCAAGCCGCCTAAACTTCCCTAAGCAAACCCTCAGCATCAACAGCTAGCTACCCACATCAATAGCTAGCTAGCTAATATCAACAGCTAGCTAGCTATATCAACAGCTAGCTAGCTATATCAATAGCTAGCTAGCTAGCTGAAAAGCTAGCTAGCCACATCAACAGCTAGCGGGAGAAACAGCTAACCGTTCAGACAGCCGGTCAGCTAGCCAAACACAAATGAAGCAATTCGGGCGGGGGGTTTAGGGTTTAGGGTTTAGGGTTTAGGGTTACCATAGTCGGAAGTGCCGATAATCTCCTTCGGATCCGAAACAACTTCGCCCTACAAATAAAAATAAAAATAAAACTAAAAATAAAAAATAAATAAACAAATAAATAAAATATATAAATATATAAAAAAATAAACAAAAAAGAGCAGCAAAGAGACAAGTGAAAACATAAGGAAAAATAAACGGTAAGAAGAATAATGCATAAATCGCCTACCCTAAACCCTAAACCCTAAACCCTAAACCCTAAACCCTAAACCTCAGGGGCTTGATGCTAGCCGCTACACCCCAAAGCTAAACCCTAAACCCTAAACCCCAGACCTCCGAGTCGTAGGCCCTTTCCTCTATACCATAAACCCTAACCCCGTCTCATCCTAAACCCTAAACCCTAAACCCTAAACCCTGAAAACTAAACCCTAAACCCTATACGTTAAAACCAGCCCTTAGCCCGTCTGCGACGTAAACCCTAAACCCTAGACCCTGAACCCTAATCCCTAAAACCTAAACCTTTAACACGAAACTCTAAACCCTAAACCCTAAACCCTAAACCCTGCATCTTACTTGGGGTTCAGTTGTCTTGTCTTTGTTTTTATTGCTCAGTTTTTCTTGTTCTTCTTTGTTTTTAAACTCAAGAAAGTCAGAAGCAAAGGCAAATGCCTCTGAAGAAGAAGACAGACGCTCCATTGGGGTGTATGTACACCCGAAAAATCAGTGCAGCAGACAAAAGAAAAAAAAATATTAACCCTAAACCCTAAACCCTAAACCCTAAACCCTAAACCCTTGTATCAGATGCATCTCCAGCAACGACTCCGCAGCAGCCACACAAAAAAAGAGCACTTGTGATTTGCAGCACAGGTTATAAGAGTAAGATTTTAGGGTTTAGGGTTTAGATTTTCAGGGTCTAGGGTTTATGGTTTAGGGTTTAGGGTTTAGGGTTTAGGGTTTAGGCGCGCCTCAGCCGCCGATGCCACCAGACACCCTGGGGGGCCCCCCAGCTGGGCTTTGTAATTATTAGCGACGAGTTAAGGGTTGAATATTTTGTCTTAAATAAATTATTTGTTTTTTAATTGATCTTCTAGGGTTTAGGGTTTAGGGTTTAGGGTTTTCTCTACTGCACTTCTGCTGCCGCCCAACGCGACGCGCAGCCGTAAGACAACCCTTCGTTTTAGGGTTTAGGGTTTAGTAGAGCTGTTATATTATTATTATTATTTTATTATTATTATAATTATATTATTATTATTATTATTTTATTATTATTATTAGCAAAATTATTGCTATTGCCTGTAAACACAAACAAAAAGCGTAGATATATTCACAGAGATAAAGAATATAAAAAAAGCAAGGGTTTGTTTAAATTATATATAAAGCAGATAATATATATATATATATAAAGAATATAATTAATATACGTAATATTATATATTAATATTATATTATATCGTATTGTATTAGATTGTATTATATCGTATTATATTGTATTGTATAATATTATATTATATTATATTATATTATATTATATTATATTATATTATATTATATGATACGCGTTGAATGTGTACAGGCGATTGTGTCTGGTGTACAGGCAGCTTCTACTCTTACAACTCTCTCTGCTGTATGTGTGTCTAAGTGCAGCAGCAGCAGCAACAGCAGCAGCAACAGCAGCTGCAACTGCTTTATTGTCTCTCTCCTTGGTGCTGCTGCTGTATCTGCTGCAGAGGAAGCAAATATGCATTTATACAGCCCGCTGCTACGATCTGCCGCAGGTGGCAGCGCAGCAGCAGCAGCAGCTGCAGCAGCAGCTGCAGCAGCAGCAGCTGCAGCAGCAGCAGCAGCAGCAGCAGCAGCAGCAGCGCAGCAGCAGAGAAGTTGCTGCAGCAACACGGAAAAGAAGTATCGCATGCATGCATTGGGGCTTTCTTCGTACTTTATTCCATTCAAACCTTAAACCCTAAACCCTAAACCCTAAACGCTAAGCCGTCAGCCGCTAAACCCTAAACCCTAAACCCTAAACCCTCGCTGTCTGCAGTGTATACAGCGGTACCGCGGAGCAGCAATAGAGAAAGGCATAAAAATAAAATATTTTAAATGTTTATAATAATAAAATATAATTAAAACATATTTAATTTAAGTTTATTTTTATGTTGCTTATTTTAATTGTCTTGGGTTTTTGTCTCTAAATAAATAAAAAAGGAGACAGAAAGAATTATAAATATTTATATAATATTTTTTATATTTATATATTAAATAAAAGTTTAATTTATATGTAGTTTTAATGATAGTATTTAATATATTCTTTTATAAATACTAATAAAATGAGAGACAGACAGACAGAAATAAAAGCAAACATTAAAAGAGACAGAGACAGAGACAGATAAATGAAGAGAAGGAGACAGAGAAGGAGACATAAACAAAGAGAGACAGATAAAAGACAGAGACAGGCAGAGAAGAGACAGAAATAAAGACATAGAAATAGAAGAAGAAAGATAAAAGACAGATAAAGAGACAGATAAAAGAGAGAGAGAGGGGGACAGATAAAAGAAGAGGAGGAGACATAGATAAAAAGAGACAGATAAAAGACAGAGGAGACAGATAAAAGAGAAGAGGCATAGATAAAGAGACAGAAACAGACAGATAAGAGAGAGAGAGAGAGACAGATAAAAGAAGAGAAGGAGACAGTAATAAAGAGACAGAGACGGAGACAGATAGAGGACAGAGAGAGACAGATAAGGGGATAGACAAAGAGACAGAAATAAAGAAACAGAGACGGAGACAGATAGAGGACAGAGACAGATAAAAGAAGAGAAGGAGACAGATAAAAGAAGAGAAGGAGACAGACAAAAGAAGAGAAGGAGACAG